GGAAAGAGGATTTCGAGGATTTCAAGGATTTTTTTTTTTCGAAGAAAGAAAAGTAGAAGATAGAGAGCTACATTTTTTCTGTGGACAGAAACATGGCTGCAGAATTGGTGGGTGGAGCTTTGTTGTCGTCTCTATTTCAGAATATTTTCGAAAGGATTACTTCTTCGGAGGTTGTTGACTTCTTCCGGGGAAAGAAACTCAACTGCGGGCTGCTTAAGAAGATGAAGATCACGTTGTTGTCGGTAAATGTTGTGCTTGTTGATGCCGAGAAGAAGCAAATAAAAAACGCAGCCGTCAAAGAATGGCTTGAGGAGCTCAAGGAAGTAGTTTACACCGCGGACCAATTGATGGATGAAATCAACACCGAGATTTTGTGGAGTGAGCAGGAAGGCAAGTATGGAGGTCGCGCAAGTAAACGACCGAAACTGACTGCAACTTTATTCTCTACAGTTGACAATACAATAGACTGCCGGATGGAGGATATTCTTGATAGTTTAAGATTCATCATAAAGCAAAAGGACGTCCTTGGTCTGAAAGGTGGTATTCAAAGTAGGCCTTTGCGAAGATTACCGGCGCCTTTAGTAGAAGAATCTATAATTTATTGAAGGAATGATGACAAAGAAAACATCATTGAATTGTTGTTGAAAAATGAGGTTAACGGAAACAAGATATCTGTGATTCCTATAGTGGGCATGGGTGGCCTTGGCAAGACCACCCTTGCTCAGCTTGTGTATGACGATTGCAGAGTGAAGGAACATTTCGATATTAGATCATGGATTACTATATCGGATGAGGTTGATGTTTTCAAATTAACAAAAGTGATGTTTGAAAGGATTACTTCGCAAAAATGTATTGCCGAGGACATATATGAAGTTCAAGTTGAATTGAAGCAAACTTTGACGAGGAAGAAGTTTTTATTCATTTTTGACGATGTTTGGAATGAGAATTATGATTTTTGGGATGTCTTGAAGAGCCCTTTTGAATCAGCAGCTCATGGAAGTAAAATTATTTTGACAACACGTAGTGAGATTGTTGCATCAAGGATGGGTAATGCTCAAAGCTACAAGCTACAAGTAGTATCTGATGATGCGGGTTGGCTATTATTTGCGAAACACGTCTTTAATGACGGAGACTTAAGTGCATATCCAGATCTACAAGGAATTGGTCAAGAAATTGTTAAAAAGTGTAAGGGTCTTCCTTTAGCCATAAAATCACTTGCCGGTCTCTTGCGCTCTATATTTGATCCAAAGGAATGGAGAAGTATACTAAAGAGCAACATTTGGCTAGAAAGTCCGCATAACAACATCCTTCCAGCGTTGTGGTTGAGTTACCATTATCTACCTCCAAATATAAAACGATGTTTCGCTTATTGCTCGATATTCCCCAAGGATTATATATATGAAAAAGAAGAAATGATTCTATTGTGGATGGCAGAAGGTCTTTTGAAACCAGTAAAAGGAAAAAGAATTGAGGATGTTGGAGAAGAGTGCTTTCGAGATCTAATATCGAGGTCATTGTTTCAACGATTAACTCAGGATGAATCGACTGTCATCATGCATGAACTTGTGCATGATTTAGCTATTTTTATATCAGGTGAATTCGTTGTCAATTATATTCTGCATCTTGATTCATTATTCACCATGTGTAAGTGAAAAATGTTATTGGAAACTGAAATATACGAGCTATTTATAGACCCGCAACTAGCCTAAGGAACTCTAGAAATGTCAAAAATCTTTTGATTTTTGACTTCAAAATAAATATCTAACCAACAAATCCAAACTAAAAGATAATTTCTAACTTTTTCACTAGCTTAAAGATAATTCCCAACTTAATAACCTAGAAAGTTTGGATTTGTCGACACTTCACCTCAAGCTTGTGCGTAGATATCAATGATGCCACTTGTGGTTAGTCCTTCAAAACTTGGTCTTCGCTGTCCTTTGGTGAGAATGTTTGCTCGTTGTTGACCACTAGGAATGAAGGGCATACAAATTACACCTTCAAGCTTTTCTTTAAGGAATTATCATACCGTAGTTTCATTTAACATCTTTAGCCATAGTGTTTCATAAACACCCTAAGCACTGGCCCTAAACGTAGCCTCTACATTGCTTTTTGCTTCTCCATATCACCTACTTTCCCCAAAAGTTTGTAGTAGCCTGAGGTGGATCTGCCATCCATGAATGACCTAGTCCAATCTGTGCAAGTGAAAGCCTTTATGTTCACTTGGTGACCTTACTTGAAAAAATCCCTTCCACGGGTACTTTTAAGGTACTTGAGTATTTGGTAGATAGCTAGAACGTGCTCTTTATATGAAGAGTGCATGAATTGGATGACCACATTGCAAAGGCAATGTCTGGCTGTGTGGGAGATGCGTATTCCACTTAGCTATTAAACACTGATATCTTTTTTTGCCTACTAGAGTGCCTCATGTGATAAATCCTAACTTGTGATTAGGATCAATGGGTGTATCAACAGGTTTACATCCTAGCATGTCAATTTTGGAGTAATTGAGGACATCTTTTCTATGTGAAACAACCATATTCTATTTAGATCTGGCCACCTCCATCTGTAGGAAGTATGTTATAGGTCTTAGGGATGTTATATCTCAAACACCCTTGGTAAGGTCATTTTTAACCTTTCGATCTCAACTAGGTTGTCTCTTCACTCTTCTCAAGATTATATAGTGAGGAATGTTATCTTGTCATCTTTCAAGTGTTAAAGTACGTTGTATGATTTGTTTGTCTCCATTCACAGTGTCGACTTTTAATTACCTTGGTGAACCTATCAAATCAAGCCCTTGGTGATTTTTGTAGGCCATAGAGACATCTTTTGAACTTGCACACCTTCCTTGCACTATTGTAGCCTTCAAACCTCGGTGACAACTCCATGTACATTTCCTCTACAAGGTCTCTATTCAGGAAATGTTGCAAGCAGTTTTTTAACTAATGTTTAGGGAATGGGAATAGTTCCCCCGGTGGGGATCCCCAAGTGGGTATGAGTGACAAAACAAGATTAGGATGTTATTGTTATTGTTATTGTTGTTGTTGTTGTTGTTCCCCGTTGCCATCCCTAGCCAGAAATAGTAGTAGGATCGAAACTATGTTTAGCTAAGCAATTGGTATAAAATTTTCTTGATAGTTGATGCCACAGGTTTGAATAAACTTTTTGGCTACTAAACTTGCTTTATACCCCTCAATCCACCCATTTAAGTTGCACTTATATGTAAGCACCCATTTACACACCATAGGTTATTTTCCTTTATTTCAAGGAGTACTTACAATTATCTTTTGAAATCAGGTAGGGTACTGATACATTTGATATGTAATTTAACTATGATAATTTGTCCTCTAGAAAAGGAAATATTGATATGAGTTGATCGTAAATTATAACATTTTATGATTTCATTCTCCTTTAAGGAAGACACTAATACTAGGGGAAATGGAATTTTCACAATAACTTGTATCGTTTGAGAACACAAATTCTTATTGGACCCAAAAAGTTGATTTTGGTTCAAATCATTAGCGGAAAGTCATGAAGGTGTAGATTTTAGGAAATTCAATGGTCATGACTATGCTCTCATTGCATATGTGACGAAAACTAGAGATTTTTTTTTTTAACTCGGCTCTATTACCATGAAAGCGGGAAAATACTTGAGAGAAAAATAACACTATCGTATTTGTTGTATAGAACCTGAAATATATAAGACATTTATAGACCTAAAACTAGCCTAGTATGATAAGGACTCAAAACTCTAAAAATAGAGAGAACAATCTTTTGAATTTGAAATAAATCTCTAACAAATAACCCTAGCTTTATCACTAACTTAAAAGATAATTCCTAAATAAACTAGAAAATTCGGATTTTTCCACTCCATGTTACTGATTTATTTAGTATGTTGCAGGAGAATTTTGTTTTAGGTTGGAAGCTGGCAGCTCGATTGAGATTCCAAAAAAGGTTCGGCATTTGTCCTTAAACAGAATGCAGGACGATATTGTATCAAAATTTGATGTTTTTTCTGGAGCTGACTCCTTGCGCACCGTTCTACCATTGAATTTTTCATCATCTGAACATGTCTTAAGTGACAGGTTACTATATGACGTATTACCAAGGCTGAGATGCCTACGGGTGCTATCTTTGTCTCATTATAGTAATTTGATAAAGCTGCCTGATTCAATTGCCAGTCTAAGACATCTAAGATATCTGGACCTCTCTCACACTCCAATCAACACGTTACCAGCTTCTGTCAGTACTTTGTACAACTTGCAAACACTGAAATTGTCAAATTGTGTTTCTCTCACTCAATTGCCTCATGATATTGGAAAACTAGTCAACTTGCGTCATCTTTATATTGATGGAACAGACTTAAAGGAAATGCCACAGCAGATGAGTGGACTAAAAAATCTGCAGACATTTACTGTGTTTGTTGTGGGGAAAGGCAGAGGACCTAGCATTAAGGAGTTGAAGCATTTCCAAAATCTTCAAGGACCACTTTCTATTTTGGGCCTTCAGAATGTCGATCGTGCAGCGGATGTTTCAGAGGCCAATTTTAAGGATAAGAAGCACCTTGAGGAGTTAGTGCTGAAATGGGATGCCGATGCTACTGTTGACTATCGAAAAGCATTCGAAGTAATTGAAAAGGTTCTGCCTCATATAAACCTGAAAAAACTATTCATTGAAAACTATGGTGGTAAAGCATTTCCAAATTGGCTGGGAGATCCTTCTTTCTGTAATATAGTATCCTTAAGCCTGACTAATTGTAAGAAGTGCACCTCTTGGCCTCCTCTTGGAAAGCTACCATCTCTCAAGGAACTTTCTATCATAGGATTCGATCTATTTGAAAAGTTGGATTATGAATTTTATGGCATAGACCTGTTAGTTCGCCCATTTGGCTCCTTGGAAATTCTGAAGTTTGAGGATTTGAAAAGGTGGAAGGAATGGAACTTTCCAGGAGGCATAAATGATATTGAATCGTTTCCTAGACTTAGAGAGCTTTACATAGAAAATTGTCCTGAGTTGACTGGTCATTTGCCTCACCATTTTCCTTTATTAGAAGAACTTGTAATTGTTGAATGTCCAAAACTTAAGGCCTCAGTTCCGAATTCTACAGCTCTTTGTCGACTAGACTTGATCAACTGTGATAAGATAACTTTGGGGAATATTTCACCACAACTACTGTGCCTCACAATTACAAAACGTGATGCCATAGAACTCCTTTTCGAAGAGATGGAATCAAGAACTACGTGCCTTCAAGAATTGAATATCTCTGATTGCCCCGCCCTTAGGTGGTTGCTCAAGGGGGGTCTACCCTCAACATTGAAAGCACTAGAAGTCGCTCGATGCAAGAAATTAGAACTTCCAATGGAACGTCGTTATGAGTTTCTTGAAAGCTTGTCTATAAGTAGTAGTTCTGATTCTCTCAAGCACTTTCAGCTGCATTTGTTCCCAAAGCTAAATCGTCTCCATCTCGAGCAATGTAAGAATCTCGAATCACTCTCACTTCCATGTCAGCATCGTGAAGATCTCACCTCTCTCAATTTCTTGCAAATCTCAGAGTGTCCTAATTTTCACTCTTTCCCAAAGGGAGGGCTGCCTGCGCCCAACCTGACCTGGTTTTGGATCCAGAAATGTAAGAAACTGAAGTCTCTTCCCATGGATATGCACTCTCTTCTCTCGTCTCTCAAGGTATTTCATATAAGTGATTGTCCTCTACTCATTCCACCGGAGCGAGGCTTGCCTTCATTTTTGCGTTCGCTTTCAATTAGTTCTTGCGATGAATTCGTAGATCGTCAAATGAAATGGAATCTTCAAAGCCTTTCAATGCTTAGAGATTTTAGCATTAGTAACTGTAAAATCTTCACACTATTTCCGCCAGAGGGATTGCTGCCTCCTACTCTTACGTCTCTCTACATCTCTGGAATTTCAAATCTGAAATCACTGAACTATAAGGAGCTTCAACATCTCACGTCTCTTAAAGAATTACGAATTGAGAATTGCCCTGAGCTTCAGCCCAATTTTAAGGAGGGGCTTCCTTCCTCCCTTCGTGTTACACATATCTTAGATCATTTTCTGATGAATCGGTGCCAAGAGAATTGTAAAAGAAATAGGACTGAATTTGCTGAAAATGACTGCATAGAGGTTGAACAGAGGAGTGAGTTCATTGGCCAAGGTGTGATCAACGTGTCCTCTCTCTTTTGAATTCCAAATTTTTGTCACTTGTTGCTACAAATTGAATCCTACTTTTTCTTTGTCCCTTTTTTTTACCCTTAGGAAAATCCTTTTATTATCAAATGGAGCGAACAAACAAGCAGAGCTGAGGATTAAACAACCAAAACAGACAGCTGAAAGCACCGTTACAGAAACTTGTTCAGCACTAATGTATCGCTGCAACAACTAGAAGAAATCAGTGAGTGGAAGGTCGTTCAGCTTGAAGTTTGTTTAATTCATTGACGTTTATGTCAACTCTTGCATTTTTATCCATCATCCAATTTCAGGTAAGTTTTCTCGAACCATTTTTTACTTGTATTACACTATTATTATGGTACTTTCAAGTTCTCTCAAATTACAAATTCTGTTGCAATGCTGCAGGAAAAACGCTTTCTAGTCTGCTCCTTTTTGCAGTGATGTCCTTTAAATCTTGAAGTTTCTTTTTGTTGACGCTCATGTTTAATCTTCTTGCATTCTTCTCAGTCATCCAATCTCTGGTTAGTTTTCTCAAGCCACTGACTTCCTTTTTTGGCGTTTTGAAGTTGGTACGAACTTACAAATCTTTTTACATTGATGCAGGAGAAGGCTTGCTGGTATGTTATCGTGACTTGATACAACGATAGAAAATAATTGGTCGCATTGATAGTACGGATGGCAGAGACTGTTTCATTGAAGCTCCAGAAGCGGCTCTCTGCAAGCGTTCGCAAGTGTGGGTGGGGTGAGGTTTGGCTCAACCCCAATGAAATCAACAAGATCTCCATGGCAAACTCTTGGCAAAGCATAAGAAAGTTGGTCAAGAATAGTTTCACAGGAAGCCAACTAAGATTCACTCTCGTTCCTGTGCCCATCCCATGAAGGAGGCAAGGCTGCCCACCAAAATCCTAAGGATGAGGAGGATGCGTGTTCTTAGGCACTTGCTTCGCTAGTGCAGGGAGTTGAAGAAGATCGACAGGCACAGGTAATGTTTGCAAGAACAAATGTGCGCTGATGGCGAGCATTCTCAAGTCAAAGGCTGAGAAGGCATGAGAGAAGACTTTGTGCGATCAGTTTGAGGCTAAGAGGGCAAAGAACAAGGCTAGCAGGGAGAGAAAAATTTCTAGGAGAGAGGAACATCTGGCCCAGGCGCCTGGAGAAAAACTACTGGCAGCAACACCTGCTGCTCTTTCCGCTGCAGCATCTCAACCTACGCTGGGAATGAAGAAATCCAAGAAGTGAAACCTATGACAAGTGTATTGGAGGATGTAAGACCATTGCTGGTCCTTGCTTTCTCTGTTACTTTTTCTTAGGGTAGTTGATAACTCTATGAAAATAGAGTTAATTGAGCATTTTTCAGGTTTAAATTATTACCTAGAGGGTAATTAGTATTAGTTTTCTCCTATATTTTGTCTTGTTAATAGTTTTTAGTTATTTGTGTTTCATAAATTCTCTCTCTCGTAATTAGCGTTTAAAAAGAGCTAATTTAGGTACACTTTGTGGTTAATCTTAGCTTTAAGAAAACGTGGTCGTTTGGAGCTTTGAGCAACTTCTCGTTTTTGGAGTATGAAGAAATCCTAGTCAGCATTGCTCTGCATTGCTCCACCAAGACAAGCTGGGCTAGACGTGTGTTTTGCTGACAGCTGGACCTGAGTTGGTTAATGGGCTGATTTTGTCCGTGAAGGGTGTTGATTGAGCCATTCATTGGAGGCTTTCTCATGTGCTGCCACGTGGAATTAGGGTACAATAAGTACCTGCAGCTGAGAAGAAAGAAGGTGTCCTTGGTCATATTTGTAACGTAGAGGCGGGTGGACTTGGGAAAGGAAACCACCTCCATTTCTCTGATCAAGTACCAGCTCCAGTACTGGAAAGAAGAAGAAGAAAACGTCACAGGGTGTTGAACGTGAAGGAAGGACCATTGTTGATGCAGGAAGTGCTAGAAGAAACCTTGGAAAAAGGGGATTCGGATTCTCTCCTCGTTACCTTAGTTTTTCTTACTCTCAATACTCTGTTTTACCTTGTTGGAGAACATTTACGTTTCTCAATAAATCTGAACTCGAATCCATA